TTTTGGGCAAACAAAAACAAAACTTAGGACTTGAGGATAAGCATCTCGATTATCTTAGTGAACAAGAATTAATTGGCGAATCCTTCCTCGAATTGAGTGTAGAAGAACTCATCACTGCTGGGTCCAAAATAGGACCGGCTAAAACGATTATTAAGTCAATTAATAAAATTAAGAACGAGGATCAGGGTAAGTGCCACGACTGCATTCGAATATTCTAAACCTAGACTGCTTTCTCCGCAATAATTTCATTTATTAACTTGTGATTTCATGCGTAATAAATATCTACAGACATACTGAGTCCTCGGGAGCAGAAAATGTTGAATGAGTTGTTAGATCTGCGAGCGAAGCTTGGAATCTCGTAAGAGAATCTGGTCATAACGTGCAAACTGTTATTGATGAAGTGCTTCCGGTATTACTTTTTTTTACAATGCAGATCTTCATCAGCTACTAAGCGACGTTTTTCCGACTTGGATAACTATGCTCCTGTAAAACATTGTTGTCTCGTCTAACCTTTACCATTCTTTACAGAACAACAAACAAACGTAAAGAAGATTCGGAGTTATCCTCCCCCGTCAACTTTCGCACTTCTTAACAATTTTATAGATTATCAAACTAAGGACCAGCAGTTACTTATTCACCGCCCTTCAGAATGTGTTGGTCCGCCGGTACGAGTTTACCATAATGTTTTCAATCAGTTCTTGCGTGATTACCATAATGAAGAGCTAGAAATGAAAAAAGAACATTATCACTGGACTCTTGAGTTCATTCATGAAATGTCAGAAATATACCGAAGCGAACCTGAACGTCAGCAAGTATTTAACGAAAAAATTCGTGAACTATTCGGTGAAGAATTAAGAGTGATTCATCTAGATGATAATGATGGAGTATTGGAATGTAACGTCCGTTCAAAAAGTGTGTTACGCCTTCTTGTTGAGATAAAAAATGAAATTGGCACTGGTGGCTGTGATCCAACTGTTCAGGGCGGGGCTTCTTATGCAAAATATTATACCCAAAAGAAAAATGGGGAAATGCTCCAATGGTGCAACTGGCCATCTTTTCTTTTATGCCTGGCCGGACCTTGGGTGTGTATTTTAGGGGCCGTATA